ATATATATATATATATATATATATATATATATATATATATATATATATATATATATATATATATATATGTATATATATATATATATATATATGAGAGAGAGAGAGAGAGAGAGCGAGAGAGAGAGAGAGAGAGAGAGAGAGAGAGAGAGAGAGAGAGAGAGAGAGTATTAACCTATATTCATTTTATATTAATTGAAAAAAAAATTAGAAAAAAAAAGCAATTAAAAATTAAAAAAATTAAAATTCCTATCAAAAAAAGGATGGAATACAGAAATGGAGGGCTTACCTTTATTATTTTAATATTAGTTAATTAACAACTTTTTTATACATTTCCATTGTTATAAAATTTTATAACATTAAGATTAAAATTAAGTTTCATAACTATATATATATTTTTTTAACTAACATTCAGTCTGTAACCGAAAGACAGTTACGTCACATAATTATGTAAAAAAAAGCTTTGATAAACCTTACATCATGTTAGTGACCGATTTTTCAAATGATAACATATTTATAATATTTATTTTCCTCAAAATTTGGAATCATATATTTGCAATAATATAATAATAATAATAATAATAATAATATTAATAAAAAGAATATCTATAATATTATAAATAACAAAATTATTAGCGTTAAAACTATAAATAACTAATGAAATATTTAACTTATTATTTTATAATAAATACGTTTTTAAATATACAAATTAATTTTACTAGTTTATTAGATTAGTTATAATTATGATATAAATTATTAAATATATTATGATAGTATATAAATTTTCATATATATGATTATTATTAATAATATTATTGCTATACGTTGCTTTTTAATTCATTTTATTGAATAAAAAGTGAATAACTATAATAAACTGAAAATTATTTATTTGCTGCATTCAAAACCAAACTACTGCATAACCAAAAATTTTTTTCTATTTTTAATAAAAAAGCCAAAGAAAAGCTAAAAGATAAAATAATTTTTGGACGCATTTTTTTGGGTGCCTATACCACTCTAGCAGTAATAAAACAGGTCTGGGTTCGTCCCTGCAAAGGAATCTTTATATACACATAGAAAAAAAAGTGAAAAAATTGCAATTAGTGAAAAAAAAAACAATAAAAAAGCTAAATGTTTAAAAATAAAATATAAATTTTACAAAGAAATTCAAGCACTGTTCAAAGTTTACCAATTATATAGTAATTATGAAGTAACAATTATGAAGTAACGTAAACTAATTAAGATGCTAGTACCAAAAATTAAATCATTATTCTATCAAACAATCCAAACTTTTGATTGAATCATTTATTTTTATTTGAATCTAAATATATATGTTTAGTGAATTGTTTAAAATAAACTCTCGCTTTTTACAATTCTTTTTGATTGCGTGACCTCATATTTTGTAAACTTTTCACACACTTAATAATAGTTCAATGTAAAATATTTGCTTGTTTCTGTAAAAGTTAGTAGTTTTATAGACAAGAAAAGAATTTTGAAAGTTAATAAACTTCATAATTCCACATTTCTGAAATAAAGCCACATCACTAATCTGATACATGCTTATACTTTTTTATTGATAACTATTAAGATTTTATTTTAAGCCTCACACTCCTTAAACTGAAATATGAAGGTTGATAATTTGCTGGTCCAAGAAAAAGTAGAAAACTGAAATTCATTAAAGTGATAAAACTATTTTTCATGTTCATATAATAAAGAACTAAATGATACAAAAAATCAACAATAAAGTCATGGCTATTTTAAGTATTAAAATCATCAATCCTGCATTCTGTATTTATAAATAACTATAAATAACTACAAAATACAAAATTGGCGTTTAATTATTTATACCCGAGGAATATTCATTAATATATTTATTTATTTGTAATTTGTTTAAGTTTTTCGTGGTGTTCATTTTTAGTAGGTTGTGTATAAAACTGTTTTTTTTATAGAATTGATAGTTTATGACGGTTTAAGTATTCTATAAATCTGATGAGAATCCTAATAATGTTGTTTTATTGCACTATTCTGAACACGTTTTATACACGTATTATACACGTTTTCTTCAGAATTGTTCAGAATTGTTTTATTGCACTATTATACACGTTTTCTTCAGAATTGGTATTAAGTTTCTTTGCATTTTTTTATCAAATCTAATTATAGAACCGCAACAGTATTGGTCTGGGAACATGATTCCCCTATTGATAGAAAAAAAAAATCAGTTTTTGAGATTTTTGAGATAAAATTAATTATGCACATGATATCATCGCCAAAACTTATACTTTCATGATAACATCACAAAAATTTATATTTCAATTTTTTTTCAACATCTTCACTTCCAACAAGGCTCTAAGCAACCACTATTAGAGTTGGAAATTACTACAAAAGAAAAGATGAAGTTTATAGAGCAAGATAACGATTGACAGACAACTCAAAAGATTGTAAATTATATAAATCAGGAAAACAAAATAAAGGAAGTGAATTCCAAAGAACTGATATTTAAGAAAAAAAACTAGACAAATAAGAGTTTTTGGAGCACTTACAACAACAGTCACAGTAAAAGAATGAGATTTGATTGAATGACAAGTAACACAAGAATGAATTTTAGTAGATGGCGCAAGAGACGCTAGCTCTTTAGAGCAGTGCCCATTATAGTATTTATAGAAAAGAAAAAGAGAAGAAACATTACAATGATGTGATAATGGTTGGATTTTTTTACCTTGTCTAAAAGAGAAAAGGCATCATTGGAAGATCCGCTTTAGGTAATGCGGTAGTGGTGTAGTGGTAGAGCGCTCGCTTCATAAACGAGTGGTTCCGAGTTCGATCCCCACCACGTCCCTGGTAGTACCGCGCTCAACTCGTTTCTCCGCGCAGCGGCCTTGCTCGTCAAGGTTTGTGTTTCGGAGTTATAGAGTTGAGAGAGGGTTATAACCACAAATAAGTAGCCTCCTTGTCTGTAGTGGCCTTCTCGGCCTTGAGGAGGTGAATTAAAATAAAAAAAAAAAAAAAAAGATATGGCAACAGTATTCCATACAAGCACAGTTTTGAGATTTATTGAGATAAAGAATAGAATCCTGAGTAAGAAAGTGGCAAGCACGATAAAGAGATGCAACTTTAGCAGATGGTAATTTTACAATGGATCTGATATATGGTTTCGAAGAAAGATCAGAAGTAAGAGTTAGTCCTAGAAGACAAAGAGTAGGTGACTCATTGAGTACATTATTGTTCATTAATATAGGAAGATCTAGATTATTGCAATAACGATAAGCTGAAAAAAATTGAGACTTATCTGAGTTAAAATTCACCAGCCACTGAGAGCCACATGCTGTAGCAGAAGTAAGATCTTTTTCAAGCTCATATGCCCCATTTAAGCAATCAGAGAGTGTTGGCTTCTTATCAAGTCAAGAATAAACAGTAATATCATCAACGAACAATGTCACCTTAGATGTGAATTATCTGGAAGATCATTAATGTAAATTAAAAAAAAGTATAGGGCCAAGGATAAAATCTTGAGGAACCCCTAACGTGACAGGATATGAAGAAGAGTGCTGTCCATTGAGGACAACTTTAATACTGCAATTGGTAAGGAAGGATTCAATAATCTTAAAGATGTTACCTGATACACCATAAGAAAAAAGCTTATGGAGACCATGGAAATATATGAACATATATATGGAGATCATCATGCCAAACTTTATCAAAAACTTTAGAGATGTCAAGAGTGATAGCCTTAACCACACCACATCTATCTATTGCACCATAAAACCTATCAGTAATTCCTATTAGCAAATCAGCTGTGGAACAAGAAGATCAAAATCCATATTGATGATCAGAAAGTAAGGTAATTCAAGATTCAAGGCTGGAAAACAATACTCTGTTAAGCACTTGTTAAATAGTTTTGAAAGTATAGACAACATTCAATAATCTTAAAGATGTTTCCAGATACAACTTAAGAAGAAAGCTTATGGAGAAGACCAGCATGCCAAACTTTATCAAACCCTTTAGAAATGTCAAGAGCGATGGCCTTAACTCTCCACCTTTATCTAATGCGCGATAAAACCTATAGGTTATAACTGTTGCAAATCAGGCGTAGAATGAGAAGATTGAAATCCATATTGATGATAAGAAAATAAGATATTAGATTTAAGATGAGAGATTAAGTGTTTGTTAATTAAAGATTCAAAAACCTTGCTTATGATAGGAAGAAGACTAATGGGACGGTAGTTAGACAAATCAGATCGCTCTCCAAAATTTTTAAAAATAGGGATAACAGATGCTGCTTTTTAGCAGGCTAGAAAATAAGACTCTGATAAGCACTTGTTGAATAGTTTTGAAAGGATAGACGACATCTCCGGAGAACACTTCTCCAAGTCTATAACAAGTACCTTTTCCGCAACACAAGCTGTAGAAGATTCTAAGCAAGAAAACACTTTAAATACAGAAGCTGGAGTGATACGAATGTCAAGCAATGAATCAACTTGTTTGACGGCTATATCAGGTAGAACGCAACTAGTAGAATGATATTGATGAAAAGTTCTTTAGGTGAGGTGACAAAATCTGAACTATGCAAGAGAGATGGAATAACCAGTTGTATTTATTATAGATACTTTTAAATTAATCGAAGAAATTCAGATATCAATGATTAAGATTATAAACTAACAAGAGCCACATTTAAGCTGCAAAATCTGCTAAAAACAAACTTTAAAAAAATGGCTTCCATTAATTAAAATTTAAAATTAGCACAGTTCCTGCTATGTAACTGAATTGTTTTAAAACTGTACTTTTATTAATAGTTAAATAATTTCAAACTAATTTCCTATAATAAATTATCTTTTTTTAAAAACAAATATTTCTGAAAATTTTATCTAGAGACTCATAATCACATCATGATTAACATTATATGATGTAAGAAGCATTTACTAAATCAACAAACATTTTTAGATGATTAACATTATATAATGTAAGAAGCATTTACAAACATTTTATCAAATGAAAAAAAATCAACAAACATTTTTAGATGTAAACATATCCCAATCAAGTTCTTCATCTTTTGGCATTTGATTATAAAAATTCTTTACATTTTTCAAAGAAACCATCTCATCGGAAGACAAATTAAAAAAATCTATAAAAAACAAACAAATACTAAACAAACTTAAAAATTACTATAAATTTAGACAATAATGAAAGTTTAATTACAACTATAATAACAATAAATACTTTCTATATTAAATCTTATTTCAAATAAAAACTGGCACAACTGGATTTTTTAAATATAGAATTATTTAAAAAAATCAACTAATAAAAAAAAAAAAAAAAACATTTGAAACAACTCATTTGATCATCAATACTTTGTGTTTGGCTTTTACATTGAAAAATATACAGTATCATTTTCCCATATTTTTTTTAAAACTTAAGATGTTTCCTACCAGTTTTTATACAAAGCTTTACAACCATCATAACTAAAAGAACAAGTTGTACCAGAAGGATTTTTAATGGCTTTCCTTAAAGTAGTAGAGGAGAATGGGGAGAAGTGAAACACAGGAGTAGTGGGGCATTCCAAAAGTTTTAATTAGGAGAGGTCCTAATTGACACTTTTAGGCCAATCTTATCTAATGTGAAGAATAAGATTTCTTCCCTGCTGTTTAGCACACATGATTTTGTCTTTCTTTGCATGGTAAAAACAACATTTTAAAATAAATTCCTAAATAAATTCCAGACATATTACTAGCATTATCATAGAATTTTCATATGTTATTTTAAACTTTTTATATATCAAATTTTTATAATCAAAGCCAATTGTTCATGTGATACGCTAGGATGTAGCTAGGAGTATAATCAATACTAATCAAGTAGTATTTTTCTTCTTTTACTTCCTTAAGTGTATGTTGTTTTACTTTTTCAGCTTTTAATAAAACAACTTCTTCAAATATGATTGACAATAAATAGAATATCTTAACTGGATTTCCACATTTTTAATATGTGGACCTAAAAACTGGTCAAATTCAGCACGTAACTCACATTCCATTAAAAAATTAAAATTATTGGCAATGCTCGGCTTGCAAGTTTTTGTAAATGCAAACAACCCTTTGAGCACAACCCAATAATTTTTTTTTCAATAGAGTTTCTGAATTTTCATTTACAATTGACGTAGAGTACCTAAAAAATTCCTAATTCATAACTTTTTTTACCTGACAGTACTGTAATGTGTTTTGCGTTAGGATAAACATTCTGTTAAATTTTTTCAATCAGGATAAACCATATGTGTCAGTGCTTTAATTTAATTATTTACCAGCATAAACCGCATAATTAAATAAACAGCATAATTTGTTGAGGAGATTTCTGTATAGATTTTTTGTTTAATGCAGGCTTGGACAGGAATGGCGTGCGATCACACTCTGTAACTGACCACACTAATAGTTTTTTTTTTTTACAACTTGACTAGCTATTTTAATGTTTTAACAATTTAAATGCAACAAAAGTGTTAGGTTACAAATATTTTTTAATCGGTGTTCTTTTCTAAAGTATTTGTTGTACGCGAAAGACTTTAAAATAAAACCATTTAATTATTTTTAACGTAAACGTTGTATGTAAATTAATTAAAAATGTTTTTAAAAATCATTTTTTGTGTAGGCATGATAAATTTAAACATTTAAAACTATTTTCCCATGTCTTCCTAAAAATCTATCAAAGCATTAATTTTAAAAAGATTTTTTTTAAGTTACTTTAATTAATGAATAAATTCAAAACCTTTTGTGACAACTAGCTTTTACACATTTTATGTGAATTATACAAGAATATAAAATAACTTAATTTACTTATATAAGCATGTATTTTGTTGATTAATGGAAAAGTTTTAAAGCGTTTTGTAATGTTCATACAATTAATTTTTATAACTTACAATTTTTTTAAACAATTTTTTTTTGCAACTTTTTTGAAAAAATGTCTATACAATTTAAAAATATTAAATACAACACTTTTTAATAAATTTGATAAAAATTATTAATTTATTAAACAATCGTTAGTAGTAATTTGTTAATTTAAAATCGTTTTGCGTAACTTTAATAAAGAGCTTAAAAAGAATTATTTCAAACGTGATTAAAAACATAAAAAAAAGTTTTGTTTGGAGTTTAAGTTTTTATTTTTTATTTTTATTATAGTGCTTATATAATTTCTTTTTTGTAAAGATTTTTTTTTGTTTCTTTTTTCTTTGGGAATTTTTTTTTCTAGTTTAAGTTTAGCTTAGCGTTTCTGCATTTAACGCATTTCTGAAATGTTTAAATCATCAAAACATATATACAATCGTGGTCAAGCTGTCAAGAAATAAAATCATTTGCGTGGTCAGCAATAGCGCTCGATCCCACGCCATTCTTGTTAACTTTTTTCGCACCGAAACGGGTCGTTAACAACCCTATAGTAATAAATCAATAATTAAAGGTTTTTTTAGCAAAGCCATTAATCAAAACTACTTGATTTTATGCTTTTCAGGTTCAGCTTCAAAATTAGCTGTAATGAACTAATTTTTGAAGCTCTGTAATAGAAACAAGGGATCCATAAATTACGTCACACTTTAGGGATGGGGGAGGGGGGAGGGGGGGAAAGCAGGGAAGGAAGGGGAGGGGTCTCAAATAGTTGAAAATTTAGTGACAGTTTGCAAACGACCCCTATATTGACAGTTTTTTTAAAGTGTTTGATTTTGATTAATTTTTTTTTTTTCGAAAATTCATGTGATTCAAATTTGGTGCATTGCAATCACAAACCGCAATTGTTTTTCACACTTTCCTAATGAGATTTTCTTAAAAAATTTTTTTGCATCTTGTTTTTTTTTTTTTGCTATTTTTTTTCTTTTCTAATTTAGCAGTTTTTTGCCATTCTTTGAAGTATTGAATGCTTTTGTCTTTTTTATTAAGAGTCATAAAGTACGCTGCGCTAAATTTAACTTTTAGATAGAAGTATATAAATGATCATTTGCTTTCTTGCGCAGATATTTTCATTCAACATCAAGCGCTTTTGAATTTTAATTACTAAATCTCTGCTTGGAAGCCAATAATATCCTACTTCTATTTTAAAGTTAAATTTAGTGTGATTTACATAATGGATAAAGTACATTACAGTAAATTTACCTATAAATCAAAACAATCAGTTAAGTTACTCAATTATTAATTATTAGTATCAACTATTAATTACTCAACATTATACATTATACATACAAACTAAATACATTAATAACTAATATATTAATACATTGATAAGTTATAACTAATAAATTGAATATTTTGCACAACACCAGTACATCCATATCTGTCCACTATTTTTTTGCTATCTTTCTAACTCAAATTCTTCTGACTTTCACAATAATTTACTTTGTTTTTATTAACACTTGTCAATTATCAAATTGCAATTCTGGCAATTAGCATTTATGCTATTTTAACCCATTTCCTAATTGGGAGGGGATGTCAAACTTAAAGGCATATTTTCTAAACTTATATGTCCTTTTTGCAAATTAATGAGACTTTCTTTTTTTTTTCTATTGCTTTGTTTAAGATTTTTCAAGATTTTGGATTATTCAAGATTTTGAGGCCTCCCTATCAAAACCTAAGAACAGATTTTAATAGGGGGGGCCTCTGACCCAAGCTGTAGCCATAACACTGGCTACTACTTTGCACGTATTTAGTATATGGTTATGAAATTTGCACTTATTCAGTCGCTTCAACAATACATATCAATACAGTAAAAACTAAATTTTTGTAAATTTATTGATTCAATAAAAAGTAAATATACTCTATAAAAGAAATAATAGAAACTAGTATTTTCTAGTATTAAACTAGTATATGCAACAATTCAGCAATGAGTTTTCGCTCCAAATTTAATTGCTCATACCTATCATTGACACTCATACCTATCCTTGTTTCCATTGTTTATTTTAAACTAAGGAATATTTAATAGGAAAATTTAAGTTTTAAAAATTTAATCATAGGAATAGTTTTAAAAATTTAGAACAAGTTTTTAAATTCTTATTACATGATAAAATTTAAAAATATATATATGTACACTTCCTTGCTCAGAATGTATTTCTATATTTAAATCCATATTTGAAGCAAAGAAATACAATGACTGATATAGTCATATGTGATATGTAGTGTCAAAATATTTTATAATAATTTTTTCTTACAAATGTCAGTGCTAACTTGACTTCCCATTAAAATAAAAAAAGTATGCAATAAATTTACCTTTTGATAGAATTGTATCAAGTGTTTTGAGCTGTCTTTGCAAGAGCAATGTTTCTTGAGTGTACTCTTTGACTTTCAATTCCAAAAAATGAAGATGCAGTATTTTCATGTATGGAGACTTTTTTACAGGATGTATTGTAATAGCATTGTAAAAAGCATTTGTTTTTATTAACTTGATTAAAGCATTATTTCCTGCACGATTGTGGTAAAATAGAGATTCCATCTATACATAATCGAAAATTTTAACTAAGAACAATAAATTGGAAAAAATCATACCTAATAAACAAATTATTATTATTATTTTTTTTTTTTTTATTGCTATTATTATTATTATTATTATTATTATTATTATTAGTTTTAAGTAAGTACAAAATGCGGCAAAATTTGGAGAAAAATTTAAAAATCATAGGTTTGGTTCTAAATTAAATTTAATACCTAACAGATTTCTGAGAATTTCAGTGTTGATCTTATAATGATATCTTTGTAAAAGTAAACAAAAATATACCAAATATTTCAAAAATACAAAAAAATGCAGGAAGAAAAAAGAAAATCAATCCTGAGATCCATTTACGTAGTGTCTGGATAAGATAAGAGATAAGAGTGTCTGGAAGGTTACCAAAGTAACAGTAGATAAGAGTGTCTGGAAGGTTACCGAAGTAACAGTAGATAAGAGTGTCTGGAAGGTTAGGGGAGTAACAGTAGATAAGAGTGTCTGGAAGGTTACGGAAGTAACAGGAGGTTCCTGGTCAACAGTTTTTGCCGTATAAAAACATTTTTTGGAATGTGGCAATGTTAGAAGAAAAGGAAATTAATTAAAATAATACAATAATTACAAATAAAGGTAATGCTATTATGGCAGCTGTTTTGAACTTTCTCCATGACCTGAACAATTTGAATAATAGTAGCAGTAAAGATGGCAATTATGGAATATTTAATAAAATCAATAAAACTGATATAACTAAATCAATTGAGTTGATTGAACTTATTTTTAACAATCCAAATTAAAAGGTTGTCAGTGATAATGATCATGTTAACAATGCAGATGAAGTTATATTAGTTGACCATCCACTTCACCACCACTATTGAGTGACAGTAATATAGATGATTTATGCATATTTTCAAAAAGATGATACATTAAAAATGAGGTTTATATTCTTTTTAAAATGAACAAACTTTCTTTTTATTACTTGTGTATTTTTATTATATTTGTATTTATTTTTAGTATATTTATATTACTAGTGTATTAGTAGTGTAAACTAAAAATATTAAAATTTTCAGTTTAAAATTTTTTTGAAGTCTATATTAATATTGTGAATTACAGAAATTTTCAAAAATGTGCAAAATTAAAATTATTTTCCAGTTAATAATAATTATTTTTAACTGTAATTAAAAAGAGCAGTAACTTTGCACCCTAGCTGTGATCTAAGCTAATGGCAGCTATATTAAAAAAATTACATCACGCTATAAGGGGGGGATACATCTGACAAATTAGCCTGGTTTGCATCTCCATTATTTCTGAATACTTCATTGTTTAAATTATTTATGTCTTTATCCCTATTTGTTTCATTGCTTTTAAGATTGCACTATTTTATAAAACCATCAACCAAAGTATGCATTTGTTCAGTAGGTATCCCAAACCTCTCATTTATAACCTATATTAAACTATATCTAACTTTTCACTAAAATCTTCTTTTTTCTCAGATTGCTCGTTAACAGTGAGGGAGTGTCACAGTGCTGTTTTCTTCAGGTGAAGGTATGTATATAGGAATCATGAAAATACTAGAAGAATAAGATCTTAATTCAAAAGTATGCAGAGTATGCTTTGATACAACTTCAATTAATACTGGTTCTAAGAAAGGATCACTTATTAGGATTGCAAGAGAGGTAGGTCAAATACCTTCTTCTACTAGTTCATTTCTGTGAAGCAGTGGTAGTGTAGGGCCTGAAAATCCCTTATTCATAAAGTTCAAACATATGTTTGAGAACCCTAAATTCGAATACGACAAAAACCTGACCTTTTTTGATTGGAAAACCGTGGAAGGACCAGTTTTGAAGGAAGCTGCAAGGCAAACTTTAGATTACTGTGAGAACTATATTACTAAAATAAGCAATATGAGGAATGACCGAAGAAAGTTGGCTGAACCAACTATGCAGTATTTATCCTCTGCACATTTCAAATTAAAAAAAAATTGGAGCTGCTCATCATGCTAGGTTTTTAGGCAAGATTTTATACTATTTTAAACTTCAGTTTTTTTGTAACCAACTGACATTTGTGCACGAAAATAATAATCTACGCGAAGATTTGAAACTTATCTGTGAGTTCATATATGTTTTTACACAAGGTAGTTTCTTCAAGCACATAAAAAAATTCAATCTCCTGCATTTGATCTTGATGCAATCTTTCAGATAAAAGAGTATAAGAAAGTTTGCTCCAATCTGGAGGCAGTTGACGCGGTGTTATCTCTTTACAAGCATACATGGTATCTTGATTCAATGATTGTTCCTTCAGCTCTTTTGGATAAAAATATTTCTATGGATAACAAAAGCATTTATAAATTAATTATTTAGTTTAAAAGTTTTTTTTGGTTGGTAAAAGCGCGAAAAAAATAAGAAAAAAAAGTCGGGGGGAGGTACAAGACTCCATCCCCCATTCTCAATCATCGCCAAGACTGGTTAAGTTTCATGAAAACCTATAATTTAACAAAAAATTTTAAAACAGGTTCAAATTTTCCAGCTGTCCATCTAAATGCACTTTAAGTATGAAAATACATAATTTGCTGATTTCATAACTAAAACTTTTCATTTTTTTATTTTTTAAAATATCGTTTTAACAAAGAATGTGTTAAAAACATGATGACATACCCTTTTAAAATAAAAGTATAGATAAAAAATAACAAACAAACAAAAAAAAAACGGAAATAACTTTTTCATTTATATCCCCCTCAAACATCCTGAACACAACCTTTTCCTTTTTTGAAGTACAATTTCTGAACAACTTTAGTCTTGAGGGGGACTTAAAATTTTTCATGAATTAAAGTAAATAAACAAATTTAATTTTTAGATAAACTTAGTAAGGCTTGATTTATTAGGACTACTTATTGATCAAAATAAGGCTTGATTTATTAGGACTACTTATTGATCAAAAAATCAGATCAACTTTAATTTTAGACAAACTCAAAATGGACAGTCTGAAATTCGAAATAGTAAAACAAGCGGTCAAACTATGAACAGAATTATTAAAGTTCTAGAAATTACTTTTAATGCTCGAATATGGTATGAGATCAAATATTTTTGATAAAGTAAGATGAATTTACGCTAGTAGCATTTTATGCCATCTACCCCAGGTCATATTTTAAAAATCCGAAAAAACTGTGCAAAAAAATCTTGAAAAAATTTGGACTTTTTATATCCTTTATATTTATCTAAATTTAGATTCAAGCTGATGGCTTTCTCAATTTTTTGGAAACTTTTTTTTGTCTTTTGTATGAATAACAACTGAAAAGTTAAAAAAACAAAGTATATATTTAAATTTGTATTTACAGAAAATTTTTTGGAAATTCAAAAAAACTAAAAGTTAAAAGAAATATCCAAAATTCAGGATATATCTGGAAAAAGATTCATATTATAATATTTTTATATCGTATAGTCAAATCATAAATAAAGTTTATTATCAAAGATCATTAAAAGATACTAAATATATTATCAAAGATCAGCTCTCTGATCTTTATTGAAGAATATATATATATATATATATATATATATATATATATATATATATATATATATATATATATATATATATATATATATATATACAAAATAAAAATATTGCGTACTAAGGTAAGCAATCTGACGTCATACTGAAATAGCCTGCCGGGGGCTTCAGTACGTACATCGACTGACAAATAGTCTGACTCGCAGAGGAGTGCTGCTACATCGACTGAGGGTTTGGGATGGGGCAGCAATCGTTTCATTCATCATTCTTCCTTTCTTTTTCTAAAAAACCGTATGGATTAAGGTAAGCAAAAAAAGTGCAAATGCTTATAAAAATACGCTTTAGTAAGTTATATATATATATATATATATATATATATATATATATATATATATATATATATATATATATATATATATATATATATATATATTCTATTTATAACTTTTTTTACTTGCTTTATTATTTATTTTGTTTTGAAAGCAAGCCAAATCATGACACCATTATACATATTTTGTGATTATTAGAGTATTATAAGTTAAAAAATCTTGAATGATCCTTATCCTTCTTAAAAAAAAACTTTAAATTTAGTTATAAAATAAAACAGCGTTAACACTGTAAAACTTAACTTGTAGAAGTGTTAAGTATTTAGTTAAGTAATTACCAAATTATTTTGAAGAAAAAATAATATTTTTATTCATTAAATGAGGTTTGTTTCGGACTTAATGTTTTAGTTAATTAGTTACTACTTATAAAAATAATAGTTTTAAGCACTTTGCATTTCTTATTATATAATGATGCGTGTTGAAAACTATTATTATTATTGAATTTTAAATAATTGTCAATGTTATGCAATGCAAATGTTATTCAAAAAAATATGCAGTTGCTACAAAAAGATTTTTGTTTGGCTGTTAGCTAAGAATTTAATCTGATTCTTTGTTTTTATATTTATATTATAACTATTTTTTGTATATTTTTGTACAAATATTTGTTTTAACTTTAATTCAGTTTGATTTGAACGGTTATTAGTAAAATAATTCTTTTAATATTTATTTTCAACTTAGTTCAGTTTATATGTTTAATTCAAGTCACTCGTTTTTTATTCAGTTTATACTTTAAATTAACTTAATACGCTTTAGTAAAACTATTCTTTTAGTATCTAGTTTATATTTAGTTTAAACCAGTATGTTTACTGCAAATATTCATTATATTAAATTTTTATTTTTATAAATTTTATAAATTTAATTCTAAATTTTATCATAAACTTTTTTAGGAGATTTAGTAAAAAGTTATACAATTAACATAATTTGGTGATTGTGGCAAAAAAAAAAAAAATTAGACGACATTTTGAAATAAAAAATTTAGACAATGACATCATATACCAAAACTATTATGAATTAAACACGCATGGTATAAATTATCAAGTCTGCAGATTGCGGCTAACATTATACAGACCCCGAGAACCAAAAAAAAAATGGAGAAAGGGAGCTTCGACTAAAACGATAATCTTAAATTTAATGGTGTTCATTTATTATATAGTTTTAATAAAAAAAAATTAAGCCCAAATTTTTTTTTTAAACATTTTCTTTAATATGAACACAACTTGTCTCGACAGTTGGGGATCCCTTTAAACAGTTAACATTATATTCTTGAAATTAGATGTAATGACTTCAAACTGTTCATTAATTATGTTGGTGCAAAACAGAAAAAAGTGTAACACTAATATTTTATATCAGTGCTTTGTTAATTGAAGGAAGACAGAATTTTGCTAAAACTGTTAAACTAAACAAGTTTTATCTTTAGTTTTCTATCTTTTAGCTAAAAAATTTTATAAATTTTTTTTATAAAAAATCAATTAAACATTTTCTTTCAGCCAAACTCTTGAACAAGCATGATTTTATACTCTCATTATAAGCAGTGTTGTCCTTTGGGTGAAGAAAGTGGAGCAGTGGCCATACTTTTGTTAAAAAATAAGTAAATGTTTTGGTTGAATGAAATATAATAATAATATATGTGCCTAAAATATCTAATTACCCGCGCAATATGTTCAATTATTAATTAGTTAAAAAAATATAGGAACAAGATTCTCATTCGTAATAGATAGTAGTGACTAAAATAATGCAAAAAATTGTTTGATAGTGGTGGCACGGTGGTGTGAAAACCCGAGTCTTCCGCTCACTAAAAAAGATTTTTGCAAACTTTTTTTTGAACATAAGATTATTTGTAAACTCCTACCAGCTGAGGTGGAACACAACTGCAGAAATTTTGAGATTTAGTAACAGGATTCAAAACCCATTTTTTATCGCATTCATTGCACAACTTTACTGATTATACCTGTTACTGTGGCGCAGAAAGAGGCCTAATAATGTAGAATAAATAATAACTTTGGTCTGACAATTTTCCTGCTTGAAACTTATTAAAACATATTTAAGATCATCCATGGGTCAAGAAAGAAATCATCCCTGTCAAAATAATAAATTGAATCTGACGTGAATTTGACAACTTTGCTGGAGTGAAAACAAGAAAAAGTTTATATAAGATGAGTTGAAGTTTATAATCCTTTTAATACAATTTTTAAAATTATTTAACCATGAACAATTGCATTTACAGTATTAATAACACTGTATTAATACTGTATAATACAGTATTAATAATACTGTATTATTTTATATTGGTTAACAACTACTTATTAAATTTTATCTAACTCATACTTAACCAAGATTCTATTGTAAAGTTCTATTATTTTACAGATGTGAATACTTATTACATAACATCTACCTACCTATGAACACCTTTCAGATCAAATGTGAAGCATTATAAATGCAGTAATAGTACGTGCAAATATTTTGTAATGTTATACTATTTATAATTGATTATTCATTAAAAACCTAACAAATAAATATTTAGCTATTCAAATTTATTTTATTATTTTAATTTATTTATTTCTTGTTAGACCAAAGTTATTATTTATTCTACATTATTAGGCCTATAATACTATAATAACTTTAAGAATAAACTTTATTGTTATTAATCTAGGTTATTTTAACAGCACTCAGCCCTTTTTATAAACCTATGAAAAAATAACTCAAAATTATATCAACCCAAAATGAGAGCTTTGCACTGACACAAACCCATTTCAGACAAAAAGAGATTAAACTTGTTCTTCATCAAAGTGCAACTTTTGACGACTTTGCAAATATAATTTTTCAACAATTTCAGGGGGAGGACCCTAGAAACCCCACTTCTCTGGGATATTCCATACCTTTAAATTCCCAGGTAATCATTCCTCATATATATATATATATATATATATATATATATATATATATATATATATATATATATATATATATATATATATATATATATATATATATATATATATATATATATATATAATCTTTGTTATTACT